TCGACATACAACTCTGGGTGTTGAAGTGCAAGCGATAACTGTTGACACATCTCTTTAGGCAAATGAAAAATTTGCCTCCATCCCATACGTGAAGGAAGAGCATCCAAGACAGTAGATATTTTTGGGTTTACTACCACCTCATATTGTTGTACAGCTGATTTTGTTGATGTTTCATTATCAAATTGTTCCTCCTCACTTTCCACAAAGGAAACCATATTCGCCGTAACCACAGTAAAGTAGTCTTCCGGGAAATATTCCTCTAAAGTTATGGGAGACAACGGCTCCTGCTCAAGCAAATCTATAGGGAGGACCTTTTGCTTGTTGGCCTCTTTTGCCTTCTTTTTACCCTTTGAATGCTTGGGCTTTCTCTTCCTTTGATGCTTTTTTTTCTGCAATATGAAGGTTGTGGTTTTGGAGCATGCACTTGTTTCCTTGACTTTCTCCTTGTCACCAATGTCCACCCTTCGTCATCATCTTCATCTTGGGCGTTAACATGTGTTTGGTGTTCAACTTGGGACGAGACTTCATGTCGAATGGGTTGACTCTCCACAAGTATGATCACTGGCTCCAAACTTCCAAATTGCAAAGTTTGAGCTTGAAATGATGGTTCAGTAGCTATTGAGGCATGATTTGATGTCACTGGCTCGTCGACATCCAGCTCGATTGTCCCATCCTTCGCCAATTGCATAATTTTCTCCTTAAGTGTTATACACTTTTCAATAGGATGACTGATCAACCTATGATGCGGACAATAATTGGGATCGGATGCCTTGTTCATTTGCTCAGGTCGCTTTGATTTAGGCAACTCAATGATTTTGTTTTCAAGCAATTTGTCTAACATGCCAGACAAGTCAGAGTCTGGGAAAGGGTACTTCTTAGCTTGAAGCTCTTTCAAAGTAGGTTTATCTTTCTTGACAAATCTCGAAGATAAACTCTTACTTTCTTCTTTCTTCTTACCCAAAATTTTGATGGGTGCAGAAGAAGATAAACCCTTAGTTGAACTTTTGGAGGACTTGTCATTTTTGTAATACTCCTTCTTTTCTTTCTTGGCTTCCAAAGAAAGCCCCTTCTTCTTCTTGTTGTAGGCAATTGAGAGTTCCATGTCATGAGCTCTCGTCGCCAACTCTTGAAAAATCCTGGTTTGATCCCCTTTAGGATGTAATGTAGTTCCCAACTCATCCCATTGATGCACATCTCTATGGCAGAGGTTTCAGTCAGCCGATCTTTACATTCCAAACTTAGAGCGCGCCAGCGGTTGATATAATCAATGACTGGCTCTTCATCCCATTGTGCAGTTTGAGTTAGCTCAGTCATGCTAACAACACGCTCAGTGCTGAAGAATCGCCCCAAAAATTCCATTTGATCCCAACTATCAATGGACTCAGCCTCTAAGTTGGTGTACCAGTCAAAAGCGATTCCCTTAAGAGAACAAACAAATTTCTTAACAAGCAAGTCACCCCTGGTACCACCATTGCTGCCCGTCTCTATGAAGTGTGCAACATGTTGCTTTGGGTTACCCTTTCCATCAAAGAGTTGATATTTTGGAGGTTGGTATCCGAACGGCATTTTCAGCTCATCTATTCTCCTAGTGTAAGGTTTCACATAACGTCGGCCATTGTACGAACCTCCCCCTCCAAGTTGGCTCTTGACAGCATTGGCTATCATAGCTTGAACTTGTTCGGCAGTGATTAAATTGTTTGATCCATTTGGCTTTAATTCCTTTGATTTAATACTACTATCCGAACTGTCATCGCTTTCAGTCTCTATCAATCGTTTATCAAGCTTTTTTGTCAAAGCAGCAATCTGTTCATTTTGCTGTTTGATTTGAGCATCTTTTTCCTCCCCATCCTTCTTCAGCTGTTCAAGGATATTGCTCATTTCAGCCAGTTGTTGTTCGACCGTCTTAGTATTCGTCACCATAACAACAACAAAAGTAGGCTCAGGTGAGCTCACACTAAACTCATTGTCGTGTCCTTCATCAGAGTGATCAAAGGATGAGTTTGTGTAGGTGACAGGCTTGAACGAACCAAACACAAGACTCTCATGTGGTTCATGAGTGGAGGACGTGACAGACCTCATAGAAGCAGCACGACGAGCGCGACTTTTTCGTGCCTTGGTAGGGATTGATGCGGCACGCAAGCTTCTTGCGGCAGAGTCAACAACAGCTTGCTTCATCCCTCTAGTAACGATGCCCTCATCAATTTGGTTGTTGAGCATTTCAGCCAACTAAGCAGCCCTTTGTTGAGCTGTAGCAAAGGTCCTTTCAGCGACAATGTTCTTTGAGGCCATTTCAAGGTTTTTTTTTAACGTACGGAAATAGAGATGAGAGGCAGAGATAGTCCCACCGAGCGTGCCAAAAATTTGTTTACACAAATTTCAAGTCTAAATAAATAAGACGGGAAATAAAGTAACAAATGAATTTTATATTAATATGTGAATTTTGGGTACAATCTCTGTATAACAGTTTATAATAAAATAAACTAAATCCTCTGATTTTGTTCCGCAGCTTGACGATGACACGTGTGTGACACCTGTAGGGTAACGTTTGATGACGTCGACTTGAGTTTGAATGCAGGGTGACGTTTGATGATGTCAACCTATATTCGAGGGTTTTGTTTGAATACACCTGAACGAGGGCTTATGAAGCTTAATCCTGTTCAAATGTGTTTAAGTGTATCTGAACAAGTCGGCATGAATTTGATGTGCTTGTTGACTTACTTCAGAGAGAATTCCTTTTGAGCTTTATGAGCTCATGGAATAATGATTTCTGGATCCCCTCAACTGATGGAGGAATGATGTATTTATAGGAGACGAGAACCCCTTAAGTAAACTTAGTAGGTTTGGGCCTGACCCATTTTACGACTTAAAAGTCTTTTAACCTGGTCCGTTTAATTTATTTTATAACCCGAATTGTATTTAATTAATTCAGATTATTTATTTGGGTGGGCCAAAATTAATTAAAATGGATCATTCATATGATTTTAACCCAAATTAATTTATTTAATTTAATGTATGACACCCATAAAATTTCCGTGTCTACACACATGAAGTTCTTTTTGAAGGAAAGAAGCAGCTTAAACGTTAGTTACAAAAAATAGCAATAAACTTAAACTTGTATGGTTGTATCCCTCATTGCACCCACCCACCTACACTTCAATGGAAGATCTAAGTACATATTAGTTAGAAAAATTGCTATAACCTACCCATTTCTATCTTGGTTATTTATATTTTGTTCAAATATTAATTTCTTATTTGAGAAAGTGTTGAAATGTCATCCCTTTACCAAACTTTAAATAACTAAAATCAAACAAGATGTTTATTGCTCTCCCATAAGTCCTCAACCTCATTAATGATATTCGGCCTAATGTAAAAAATATTCGGCCTTCTCAACCATCACCTATAAGCCTATAACATCATATATGTCTCTCTCTACACACCCAAAAAAAGAAGTATGATTTACTTATATGACATCTCCTTAAATAAAACTGAAGGACTCCTGGAATTCAAAATAAACTGGATGAATGTACAGTGCCTACCCATGTCTTTATTTGTATATGTTGTAGTATGAATAGACGAATCACCTTCTAAATGCATTCTTCTTAAGAAAAAAAATACTCCCTCCGTTACGAATTACTCGCAACAATTACTAAAAATGACTGGTACACATTACTTGCAACAAACTTATTTCTTTCCTTTTATGGTAAGTTTTTTGTGTGATATTACAACATTACCTTTACTTTTTTTCCTAAACACCCTAATTAAAGTAGGGATTTTATCTTATTAACTTAAACCCTAACATTGATTTAATCACCTCCCATTTAAATTTATCATCAACAACACCACCACCACCACCACCTTCATTGGCAACAACCACCACCACCAACGATCGCTACTAACGCCGAAAATCACCGCCGTCGTCTTCTTCCTTGTCGGCACCTTCGTTTTCTCTCTCTTCCTTTCCTAGATCTGACTTTTTTTGGGTTCATTGTGTGTTTGGTGGCTCGAATTTCTGGGTTTAGTGCTTGGTGGGTTGAATTTCAAGGTTTGGTGCTTAGTGGGTCGAAATTCTGGGTTCGAATTTCATGGTTTGGTGGTGCTGGGTTTGAATTTTGTGGGTGGTTTCATGGGTTTGAATTTCTGGGTTTGAATTCATGGGTGGTCTCGTGGTGGTGGGTTTCGGGGTTGTGGGTCTGGGTTCGTGGGTTATGGGTTTCGGGGTGGGTGGTGGTTGGTTGTAGTGGTTTCGGCGGTTGTGGGTCTGGGTTCGTGGTGGTGGGTTTCGGGGTTGTGGGTTTGGGTTCGTGGTGGTGGGTTTCGGGGTTGTGGGCCTGGATTCGTGGGTTGTGGGTTTGGGTTCGTGGTGGTGGGTTTCGGGGTTGTGGGCCTGGATTCGTGGGTTGTGGGTTTCGGGGTGGGTGGTGGTGGGTTCGACGGCTTCAATTCGCAAAGGGTTCGCAGGTGGTGGTGGTGGTGCTGGGTTTGTTGGTGGTGCGCTCGGTGGTGGTGTTTTCGTGGTTGTGGTTTTGCTAGGTGGTGGTGGTTTCGTGGTTGTGGTGCTTGGTGTTTAGTTTTTGTTTTTTTTTTAATTTTTTATTATTGGATTAATACTAAGCACATTCCTTATTTTCCAATAATCACACTTAAGAAATTTTGCCTAGGAGTCCGCAAACTCCCTCTTTGTTGCGAGTAACTCGTAACGGAGGGAGTAATAACTGCAAATGAATAAATATAGTAAGCGTGAGAAAACACATCAGCAATAGAAAAAATATGCATTTAGGCCTTGTTCTTTTCACCTTAAAAAAATAATATTAAGTAAAAATAATTTCAGTTCAGTAAAAATAAGTTCAGTTCAGTAAAATTAATTTCAGTTCAGTAAAAATAATTTCAGTTCAGTAAAAATAAGTCCACTTCAGTAAAATTCAGTTTTCTTAAAGAAGAATTATAATAGAAAATCAATAAAAATAATTTCGGTTCAGTAAAAATAATTTCAGTTTAGTAAAATTAAGTTCAGTTCAGTAAAAATAATTTCACTTCAGCAAAATTAAGGTGAATCAAACATAGCCTTATACTTGATTTATACTGTTATATAATAGGGGTGCACTACATAAAAGGAAAAAAAACAAAAAAAACAACCATAGAAATGTCAGGATAATGATAGGGATGCACCGCAAACCCTTATCTGATTTTGTTCATCTTCAGTAAGGACTAACCGGTGGTAGAAGACGTTGATCAGCAAGCCAATTATTTTTATCTTCATCTGCATTAGGAATAACAGAGGCTGGTATCAAAACTTGATCGATATACTTTGTAAAATCACGAGTTTTGCCTTCAAGGTCGCTCCATAGCTTCAACTGGTTCTGATTATGTTCTTCAAGTTTAACATGACGTTGTATTAATCCAGATAGGAGTCATCACATTTCAGGTGGTCAGACAACGGTACCTTTTTCAGCTTGAAACAACCTTCTATGGAAAACGCATCTGGAAAAGGGCAGCGGAGTAGCCCTCTATGTATGCGGCTCAGATTCCTTAGCGAATTCAATATAAGCACCCTTAAATTAGGAAGAGCAAGTATGGGTTGGGGTGCTTCGAAAATTCGCTCTATCTTCGGACAATTTATCACTGTAAGCTCTTCCAGCGAAGTACAGAGGTGCAAGTCCTTATAGATGCTTTCCAACTTCGGTAGATTTTTCAAACTTATTATTCTCAATTTGGAGAGAGCAGAGTTGGGTCTAGGTGGTGAATTGCAAGATGAACTATTGCTGCCGCCACTCTCGAATATCTCTTTCAATTCATTGCAGTCCCATACACAAAGTTCTTCCAGCGAAGTACAGAGGTGCAGGTCCTTATAGATGCTTCCCAACTTCGGCAAATTTTTCAAATTTAAAATCTTCAATTTGGGGAGAACAGAGATGGGGTTGTGTTGTGGATAACAAGCATTCATGGGATCAACTACTAGTCTCTGTCCCACCCTGTAAAGTTGAAGATGTTGGACACTTCTGCCATCACTCTCGAATATCTCTTCCAGCTCTTCACAGTGACGCACACTAAGTTCTTCCAGTGAAGTACAGAGATGCGGGGTCATGTAAACTCCTTGTAACTTTTGTAGAAAATCTAATCTTACACTAACCAAGTTTGGAAGAGCAAGACCAGAGTTATGATGATTATTTTTGTTTGATTCAAATATCTCCTCCAACTCATCACAATTATCCACAGAAAGGTGTTTTAGATATGGAAGGGAAAACTGCTTGTCCGAGAGGGGGAATATCACCTTTATGTTTGGACACCAATTTATAGCTAGATTTAAATCTGTTGCCAAACCCAAGGTGGGGAAAACATCTCCCAGGTTTCTTCTATTCACATCACATTTATATATCTCCAGCATTTCAATTGTTGCCGGGAGCATATAACTGGTTTCGTCATCTTCTATTACTGCCCCTGCTACCCACACTTCATTCTCATATCCCCTATCAAAAATATCGTAACAAAACCATGTTTTGAACAATTTTGGGTTATGAAGCCAAAATCTGTAGCAACTTAATGACGATGGTAAAGATTGAATAAGCTTATTGAAGCCAGTGCTGTCAGATATATCCCATGGCCAATAGCTTACCTTTTCCAAACACTTTAAATTTTCAATCCCGTCTGGAGCCTTTTCAAGCTTATAAACATTATCAAGATCTAGCACCCTCAAATTTGAAAGCTTTGTTAGTGACGGCACATACGTTAACTCACGACATTTTACAAGTAAGAGCGCCCTTAAATTTGCCAAATCAGAAACACTCTCTGGTAACCTCACAATAGAAGTATAAGATAAATTAAGAATTGTGAGGGCTCGCATGTGCATAAAGAATGATTCTGGGATCCTACATAGAGGATTATTATTGAGCAGTAGCACTGTAAGTTCTGGGGTCAAAGGTGCCATACCATTTGGAATCTCCTCGATTTTGTTATGACTCAATGACACCTTTACCAGACCTTCACTCCATTGCTCCTCTTCTGGTACTTCCCGCAGTCGAAGTCCTAATTTTGTCATGAAACAAGGATATCCTTTTGTGATCATAATACCCAGATCTCTCATCAAATCATGCATCTTAACACCTTCATTACCACCATAATCAGTGCATGCTTCAACACCTTCATTACCACCATAATCAGTGCATGCTTCAAAAAACATGACTTTATCAGTGAATGCTTTAATAAACATGTCTTCATCAGTGCATGCTTCAATAAACATGTCTTCATCAGTGCATGCTTCCAACAAGCATGAGTTTATCAGTTTATTCAAGATTGTATGGCCCTTATTCAGTTGCTCTGATCTGCTCCCTACATCATCCAACAATCCCTCCATAATCCAATCCTCTATAAGCGTCTTGCGAACTATTGTCTTGTCTTCAGGATAAAGTATGCAACTTAAGAAGCAATTCTGCAGCCTTTGGTCATTCAGGCGATTATAACTGTACTTTAATACTGAAAACACGTATTCTTCCATGTCACTCTGCTCACAAGAAGATTGTCTCAGCTCAGTTAAAGCATCATTCCATACAAAGGCATCAACCACATCAGTCATACTCCGAGCCATAGTAGCAATTGCAAGTGGCAAACCACCACACTCTTTGGCAATTAATCTTGCGATTTCTTTTGCTTCCTCCGTAAGTTTGTCATAGTGCCCAAGCTTTTCAACAAACAAGTTCCAAGCTTCACCTTCTGGGAGAACTTTTGTCTCGATGACAAAGCCTTTGCATCCCATTTCTTTACACACATTACGTGAACGACTACTTACAATGATCTTGCAACTGCTTCCTTCAATAGGAAAATCGAAATCCTTTCCTAAGAATGGATTCCATTTCCACATGTCATCTAAGAAAAGTACAGTCGGGCCCATTGTGGATAATTGTCTGTGTAATAGAGCTGCTCTCTTCCTATCATCACCTTCTCCAGAAAGATCAACACCAAGCTCTTTAGCAATTTCATTTTGCAGTTTGAGCTCATCGCAGTTTTGTGAGACAGTTACCCAGTAAGGGCATCCAAAGACGTGCTTCTGTTTCAGCACCTTGTTGTATATCCACCTCAACATAGTAGTTTTCCCTACACCTCCCATCCCATACACACCAATAATGCAGCGTTCATTATTTTTTAACCATTCAAGAATAGTTGCAGTATTCAATGCAAACATTTCTCCTGCTGGATTCTTTGACGAGAGCGGAAATTCTATTGGGCTATCATCAGGCAATACATATCCATTTGGAAAGCTACCCCGCTGCAACAATTCATCAACTTGTGAAGTGAAGTTTTCTATGCTCAGATCATCTGTTGCTATGTTTTCAACCTCCTCTCTAATCTGATCTACAGCTGTTAACCAGTGTTGAACTTCCATTCTTCGCATCTTTTTTGGCTGAATCTCATCGTGCTCAACTTCTTTACAAACATCCTGGGCTCGAGCAAATAGTTTATTTGTTTTGAATTTCAGAGCCCACTTCTTGTGACACGTAGAAGAATCATTAGAAAATAGCCAATTCGAGTGACATATGGGCTGGGAGCTGGAAGCTGGAAGCTGAAGAAGACCCTTGCTCATGATCATAAATCACTATACTATCATGAGTTGCTTTCCTTTTCTTGTTTTCAGGCTGATCATCATCATGCTCAAGCTTTGTATCATAGGACGGTTGTTGGTGGACCAAAGCTGGCACAAGTATAGTTTGATCATCATCATTAATCGTGCCTTCTTCGGGAGTATCATTCCCATGTATATCATCAGATTCTCCAGCAAAGTAACTGAAAAGCCAACTTCCGAACCGGCCTATGAATTTGCGGATTTCCATTAAATTGCTGGAGGTTTGATTACACTGTTTCTCACCACTTTCTTTGGCTTCTTCTTACAGTGCTAGAGTGAGAAAAAGAGACAAAGTCAGCAATCCTGTTAACTATGAATGCTTCAACATTTAAGTTTACCTTTTCATGCTAAGCAAATTAAAAACACACATCAGATCATGCACTTGATGGTTGAACAAAAGTACTTCTCCCTTTGGATTATTATTTTTCTAAATTTCTTTTTTTATTGTTAATTACGAAGTACACTTTATATTACCTTTGAAAGTTTTTTCTTTTTTTCCTTCTCATTTTCAAGACAGCTTACTATGCTTCACAATTTCAAGTGTTTTTTTATTTCATTTTCTAAAATGATTTGGACCAATATTGTGTAAATAACTAAATACAATAATAAATTAATAATAGACAATAACAAATCTAATTATTTTAGTACAAATATATAACTGGAGGTGTCAATAGAGTCATTAGAGTTCAGGTTAGGGTAGGGTTGAATTTCAATCAAGTGTCATTTGGTTGTTCAAGAGAGTTCCTAACCAGACCCGGTAAAATCAAGAACAAGCCCCTGTGTGTTTCTTCCTTATGATCAACGGACATAGTTTATGTCGTTACAATTGCAAGCAAACAGGAAAACATGTTTGAATTACAAGTTCCAGCTAATAGGTGACGGATTTATAGTTTGCTTCCAAGCTAAGTCTTTAATACCAAAGTGCACAAAATGAAGCTGCTAGAATTCAATCATAGTTAAGAACTCACACTTTGTAATAGCTTCAAGGCGAAGGCCACTTTTGAGCCTCGAATGTGTTGACTGTTGTGTAAAGGTTTCATACGCCTTAATAGCTTGGTGTTTTTTTTATTTACGGAAACTCTTCTTTAAACAATACATGATGATAATAAAAAATATATAAAATAAAAAGCTGCAGGCAACTTCAGCTAGCTATGTAGCGTTGAATTTCTCACTAGTATCAGTCAAGGGTCTCAACTTAATGCCTTTTAAAGGTAGATCAGCAGGTACAAGAAATCTCCTCACCTCGATTAGAAATCACTGGTTCCAGTGTAGTCCTTTACCCTTTAGCCAGAACCTTAGCAACAAGAATGAAATGATTGCCTTGACCTTTAAATAATGCAAGAGCAGTGAGCTGAAGACCTGAAGTAGAAAAACAGAAGCAATTAGAATTCAGGATGTTGTCAAAATCCAAAACACGAAAGAAATAATGACTAAGAACAGCAAAAATAGAGTAAATTAAAACACCATAAGGCATAATCACACATCGATGGGTTGGTACTACCACAGTCTAAATTGTTGGAGGTAAAGGTGCAAGGCTACTGATGATTAATTAAGGTCCACCAGGTTTACAATTTTTGAAAATTTTCAATGAAATAAATATACATAGGGGAATGATTTCACAATTCAGCACTCCTTATCTTCTAGAGAACTAAGATCATTATATTTTCACAAATTCTGTTTTTATTTCAAGAATGGCAAATCGATTGGAGTTTACTAGAGCTATATCCATGCATCATAGTTGCTACAATATATATTAAAAAGAGAATTCGTGGCAGAATATATCAGCATTTGGGAACAGGGAAAACTGTAATAAAATAATATGTTGGACCTTTTATGGACTAAAGAATATCAAATAAAGAATTAGAAGAAGAACAATGTAATTTCTTAAGACATGAAGCTACGACATGAGACAACTATAAGAAGAATATGGTAACTAAAAGAGGAAACAGAAGAAGGATTAACTCGTAAAATGTGTACCTATGGCAGTCTTGATCTTTTTCTCAATTTCAAGCAAATCCAAGTAAACGACTTAAACAAGCAGACCGAGATGAATAGCCTAGCAGAAGGGAAAAAAACAGAATATATATGAGTATACAGCAAGTACATAAAGAAAACCAACTGAATTTCAGCCATTTTGAGTATAACGATCTTTTACTAGACAAATTGGAGAATTGTAATAAAGTGAAAGGTATTGCTTTACAATTTAGACCTTACAAAGATGAACTGAAAGTTCAAAACCCTGCCAACTTAGACTTCAGAAAGGTGAAATAATCTCCCCTGCCTTATATTATCTTTGTTTTCTTTGATTAAATCAGGTCCATGTTTTTAGGCATTGAGCTAGTAAATCATTTTTACAAAATGACGAACATTAGAAACAAAATCATTTCACTACTACAGCCTCATAAAACACACTACAACTTTGTTCTGAAATAAGATATTCTGACCTTAATTTTTCTACTCTAATGTGATTGTCTAATTTGACTGAACTTTGACTTTTTCTACATTAATGTATTACAAAAAACATTATCATTCCAATACTCAAATGGAAGCCTATTATTTTCATCTTAATGTGCAAAGAGAAAGCCTGAATTATGGAGTAGTACCGTAATTAGAAAGTGGAATAGCAACCATTAATCCATTTTGAAATCAGCAATAAACACATCAACAAAAATGCATAAACTCGTCAAATCTTTTAAATTATGGACCAGTAATCCATCAATTTTGAGTACAAAGTATTATAATTCCAACAATTACAAGCTAAGGTCTCCCAAAAAATCAAAAAAACAAAAAAAAATGGCAATGGCTTCATAAAGCTACAAAAATTAAGCGAAGTATGAAAGAGATTATGTAACACATTTAAGGAAGAGGAAATCAGATTAACCAAAATGAGAAAGAAGAAGGATAATCGTATGTACCTTTGCTAAATATGTGATGTCGGTTTTTCCACCAGTGTTTATCAGAATTCAGAAAGTCTAGATGACATTTCATGTATGAAAGACGAAAACTAAAATACAAGTGAATATTCTATCAATTTCATACCTATTCTGAATTATTGTATTCATACATGGGGCCGGCCTAGCACTGTCAAAACGGTTTGACAGTTCGGGTTCGGTTTGGTTTGAAATCCGTTCGCTATTATATCGGGTCGGTTTGATATCGGTTTAAATGTCTTGCGGGTCGGTTTCAGTTCGGTTTAAATAGTTATCGGTTTGATTCGATTTCGGTTTATTTTTGAGCAGTTTTAATTCGGTTCAAGTTGTAAACAGTTCGGGAAGTGAACAGTTTGGTGCAACCGGGTTACGGTTTGTTAACGATTCAGTGTAAACGGTTTTTATACCAGTTCAAACAGTTTTGGGTTGGAAACGGTTTCGAGTTAGAAACGGTTCGGTTCTTTTTCGGTTCAGTTTTATTTTGGTTAAGTTTGTTAACGGGTTCGCCTTTTATACGGTTTAACGTTATTCGGATAAGTTCAATTTCACGTTTACTAAATTATGGTTCGGAACGGTTTTTTATTTCAAAAAGTCGGTTTTTAATCGAGTCGTTTGGATTCGGGCAGTTAAACGATTTTGGTTTGAAATTTCATAGTACTTGCTAACCTTTTGCTGGTTAACAAGTTTTATATCAAGTCGAGACTTCATCACTTCATATTTAGGCATTAGGCATTATATTATATACAAATTCTCATCGATTTTAAAAATACATATCATGTTATTTTCAACTTTAGTCATACTGATCTTACTAGTTTATTATGAAGTAACGTAGATTATAAATGTTTAGTGTATTAATGAATTATTATTGTGTTACTATCACATTATTAGCTACTTCTTGTTCAATCATCTAATTGATGTATCATAATCATGATTTGATGAGTTATTGTGAGATCGAAATTACAGTTTGGTTTAGACGGTTCGGTTTGTAAGTGGTTCGGTGTAAACAGGTTGCAATTTGTTAACGGTTCGGTGTAAACGATTTTTACCTCGGTTCAAACGGTTTCGGGTTGGAAACGGTTTCGGGTTAGATTTGGTTCGATTCTGTAGGGAATAATTTCAAGCTTTAATCCCACTAGCTTGAACCCCACTGTGATCATACACTAAAGTACGGTGGCGTCCAAAAGGGAAGAAGATAGTGCAAAAGAGTCGCCAACAAGTTTTAGGAACTTGTAAACCGTTCATAGGATGAAGGTTACACCCCTTAACGATCTAAGAGATCGTCAACTCCATAAGGTCTAGAACCAAATAAGGGTTCGGGGATGAAGGTACAAATCCAACCTAAAAGAGATTGAACCTGCCCTAATAATAGGCCTCTATTTTATTCTGATCGTATTCATGTGCGCTTTTCGATTAACATACAATCAATAAGATTAACCCTAAACCTGTTTATCTATGTTGGTTGAATATTAATGCACAAATAAACCTATTATTGGCGATCACTTGAAATTATAATCAAATTAACCCTAACAAGATTATTAATTATCTTATTAAGCGTGATTACAAGTACAACTTCCCTTTAAACATGCATAAAAGGTGATCAAGCAATAAAAATAAATATCAAGCAACATAATAAATAATCGAGCATTAGAATAAACATGAATAATAATAATCATCATCAAAATAATAATAATAATAATAATAATAATCTGTTAAATATGGAAGAGAAAATAAAGAGATAGGAGGGAAGATTGTTACGTTGTATTTCATATTCCATGTAGTACTAGATATATATAATGTACATTTCCTAGGGTTCCATCAATGGATAAGACCAAATACCCAACTCTAGAATATTCTAGGTTGTACATGGATAATAGTCATCCATATTTAGATATTATCATAACATTCCCCCTTGGATGACTATATATTGAATAAAACAATAACTAACATTTACTACAAAACCCGTACAAAATAATACACTATAATGCGCATAATATGCTGCCTCGTTAAAAACCTTACCAGGAAAACCCAGTGGGAAAAAACCATGGTTAAGGAAAAAAGAGTGCAGCGCGCATTAACTCCCCCTCATGACTACATCACTTGAGATCTTTAAGACGACGCAATCCAATGCCGTAAACTAACTTTTTGAATGTTGATATCGGAAGAGCCTTAGTAAATAAGTCTGCTAAATTCTCACTTGAACGAATCTGTAATACATTTATATCTCCATTCTTCTGAAGATCATGAGTGAAGAAAAATTTGGGTAAGATGTGCTTTGTTCTGTCGCCTTTGATGTATCCTTCCTTAAGTTGAGCAATACAAGTAGCGTTATCCTCATATAAAGTTGTTGGTGCCTCTTTCCCAGATGATAAACCACAAACTTCTTTTATATGTTGAACTACCGACCTTAACCATACACATTCACGACTAGCCTCGTGAATTGCTAAAATCTCAGAATGATTGGAAGAAGTAGCTGCAATGGTTTGTTTCATGGAACGCCAAGAAATGGCAGTACCACCATATGTGAACACATATCCAGTTTGTGACCGACCATTATGAGGATCAGATAAATAACCTGCATCTGCAAAACCAATCAAATTTTCTTTGAACAATTTTGGGAAAAATAAACCCATACCCTTCATACCTTGAAGGTAACGAAGTAAATGTTTAATCCCATTCCAATGCCTTCGAGTTGGACATGAACTAAACCTTGCTAATAAATTAACTGAAAATGATACATCAGGTCGTGTATGACTTGCAAGGTACATTAGTGCTCCAATTGTACTAAGATACGGTAATTCAGGACTAAGAATTTCTTCATCATTTTCCCGAGGTCGGAATGGATCTTTCTCTACTTCAAGTGATCTTACAACCTGATGTAGACATTCTATACCATATTTTACCCTCGATTTATAGCTATTTTTGTATGATTTCTAAGCTCTACGGAGCTATTTCTCGCTAATATCCTTCTTCTAGTGTGGCTTGGTCTATTTGATTGATTTTGTAGGCATATGAAGACTTTCGGATGAAATGGAGCATTTGGAGTTATTATGAGCATGCCACGACATTTTGAGGTGGATTAGAGAGCTTTATAAAGAGATTTGCAAGTCATGAGAAGTGTATTGGAGTGTTAGATGATGATTGATGATAATGCTACATGGTCGTGTACCCTTAATTACACGGTCATGCGAAGGTCCTAAGTGCGAGTGTTTGCTACACGGTCGTGTACCACAAGCTACACGGTCATGTGATTCCATCTCCGTATGAAGTCCGCCTACACGCTCATGTACCTCTCAGCTACACGACCGTGTACGAATATGATGAAATTTGAAGATCAAGTATGGTCAGCTACAAGGCCGTGTACCCATCAGCACACGGTCGTGTACGTGTGCGCAGGAGATTTATTTTATTTATTATTTTATGTTTATTTTTAGGAAAGTATAAATAGGGGTTTTAACCCTATTTTAAAACATCTCATTTTTAATATAGCTTTTTCCTTTCTACGTTATTTTGTGAGAGAACACATAGAACTCCATTGAAGCATTCATCTTAATTCAATATAAAGTATTTCACTTTCAACCTTAATCTCTTTAATTTATTATTATTATTATGTTTTCTTTAATTATTTGTCTTGTTATTTCTATTATCATGTGTGAGTAGTTTCATAATCTAGGGTTAGGTTGAACCCTAATATGGATTGATGTGTTATTTGATTCCCAATTCCCAATTTAATTAATTTGTAATTCCTCTTTGTTAGGGTTGGTTTTATTATGAATGATTAACTAGAAATAGTATTGTTGAATGTGATTAGGTTTACAACGAAAGTTGATTCTTAATTGATTTTAGAACCCTAATTAAAAGTAAGAGCTTTTATGCATGAAAATAGGTAATTGTTCTTGCTAGGACTTATAGGATGTCGTTCTCAATGTCTTTAATATGTATGATTCCATGAAAATAGGTATGATTGCATGTTAGGGAAGCTATTAGTTGATCGAAAGAAACTCTTAGTATTGTTTTAGGGAGCATCTGTCCTGTGGAATGTTTATTGATTTAATTGAGGGAAAAGGATTGTTCTATTACATTGATTCATATTAGTGGGGATACTTAATCTTAGATGTTTTTAGTCCTTGATTAATTCCATAGTATTATTATTCATTGCTTATTAGTTGATATTGTTCTTAGTTATTAATTCTCACTTATTTGATTTGGTTACTTGCTTAGTAGTTACTTGAGTCTAATTAATTAGTTGAACTATAGTCTCTTGGGATCCGACCCTTACTTGCCCGTCTACATAGTAGTGGTCTTGTTAGGTTATTTTTGTTAGGTACGCGACACGCCTATCAAATTTTGGCGCCGTTGCCGGGGACTAACGGTTTCATTCTAGTTATTTGTGATTCGTTTTACTAAGCATATATTTTGTTGCTTCGGCCATTGTTCCTGGTGTATTTGATCTCTCGTTTTAGTTTCTTTGTTGCATGCAAACTCGAAGTTCAGGTTCAGATGATTTAACACCTTTTGATTCTGAGATCGAAGCTACTGCAAGAAGACGAAGAGGTAGAAGAAGGAGAAATCAAAATATAAGAAACATGTTCAACCCAGGAACAAAATCTCTTTTGGAGTATGGTATTTCGAATACAACAACCGGATTTCTCTCCAGTATTGTTAGACCACCTGTCACCGCTCAGAGTTTTGAGTTGAAGCCCCAATTCGTACAGTTCATCTCCAATGATTCTTTTGCGGGCTCATCAAATGATTTACCTGTGACTCACATTGATAGTTTCTTGGAAAAGTGTGACACTATGAAGCTCAACGGTGTCACTGATGATGCTATTAGACTACGCCTTTTCCCTTTTTCATTAAGGGATAGGGCAAGGGAGTGGCTACGAGATGAAGGTATTGGTTCCTTTGATACGTGGGACAAGCTTGCAAAGGCCTTCCTAGTAAAATTCTTGGGGCAAGAGAAAACCGCGAAATTAAGGAACGAGCTATCTACCTTCCATCAATATAATGATGAATCCTTATATGAGGCATGGAGAAGGTTTAAGCGATTGCAGAGACAATGCCCTCACCATGGTATTCCAGAATGGATGTTGATCCAAACATTCTATAATGGTTTAACCCATGAGTTTCGCATATACATTGATGTTGTGTCTGGAGGTTCTATCATGACGAAGAATCCAACCGATGCGAAGGATTTGATTGAGAAGATGGCGGCTAATGATAATTACCATCCAAGGGGACGAAATGCTAACACAGGTAATAAACATGATGTTGATGCGCTAACCATGTTGTCTAGTTCTGTGCAGGCACTAACTCATAAAGTCAATCAACTCCAAGCTGAGTCCCCTCGACCCTCGATGGAAACTTGTCAAATGTGTGGATTGCAAGGCCATACTGCGCGGGAGTGTCAGCCCAATTATGATGGAATGACGATTGAGCAAGCTAATGCTTTCTATACCACGACCTCCACAAGGCCATTTGATGAAGGGTGGAGAAATCATCAAGGGTTCTCATACAAGAACACTCAAGCTATAGAAAATCCTCCACCACCACCAGCTTTTCAGGCAATGACACCTTTAAATCATCATCCCATGCACCAACCACCACCTCAATCTTCAAATCTTGAATCCATTATGGAGACTTTTGCTACCTCCCAGCGTCAACAACAAGAGCTTATATCGAAGCAATTTGATTTACAAGCAAAGCAAAATGAATATTTTGAAAACTCAATTCAATTGCTTGTTGCTCAAAATAAGAGGATAGAAACTCATATTTCTCAACTATCACAACAAGTGAGTCATCTATCAACTCTTCAAGATCAAGCAAAAGTCCAGACGAAACAATGCAATGCAATTTTCGTGAAGAGTGATGAATTGTTTACGGGTGGATTAGAAGAGAAAGTGTGCAATGTGGAGTCAAGAACTGAGAAGCATGAGAGAGAAAGTCCCAAATATGTTGCTCCACAAGCATATGAGGAGCCGATACCTTTCCCGCAAAGGTTATCAAAAGTTGTGCTCGATAAGCATTTTGGGAAGTATTCCGAGACTCTTAAGAAGGTATATGCTACCATTCCTTTTTCCGATCTTGTAGTTCAAATGCCTCAATTTGCAAATTTTGTGAAAGGAATTCTAGATCATGATCATAATGATAAGAAATTAGAAAGTTTGGTAGTAAAGGAGAAATGTCTTGATCCTTTACATGATAGCTTACCACCTAAATTGCATGATCCTGGTAGTTTTACTATCCCTTGTATGATAAACGAAACATATTTTAATAGGGTCTTGTGTGATTTAGGTGCTAGTGTTAATTTAATGCCTTCTTCTTTGTATGAAAAATTAGGTTTGAAAAAACTTAAACCCTCTCCCATATCTCTTCAAATGGCTGATAGAACTGTTAAACTCCCTAAGGGTGTAGTTGAAGATGTATTAGTTGGGATTGGTGAACTTGTATTTCCAGTTGACTTTGTTGTAGTGGATATGAAAGAAGACCTTAAGATCCCATTAATCTTTGGTCGTCCTTTTCTTGCTACAAGTCAAGCTTTAATAGATGTTCCTAAAGGACAAGTGACCATTAGAGCTCAGGATAAACAAGTTGTGTTTAAGCTTTTCAATGACCATAATTTTACTTTTGATGATGATACCTGTTTGAGAATTGATGCTACTAACCCTTTGGTTAATCATTGTGTTTCCAATAGAAATCATGTGCGCAAAAAGGATAATATTCCACCACATGATGGGTTTAGCTACCTCAAAATAAGCTCGGATACAAAGCACATCAACTCTAATTTGAAGGAGTCGTTTGGAGATGGATATATTGATGAGAAATACCACATAGTATCTTCTTCGTGTGGTGACCCAGGTTGAGCTACTAAAGAGGGGTCGAGCTAAAGACCTTAAACAAGCGCTAAATGGGAGGCAACCCATTCCGTTTTTTTTTATTATTTATTTTATTTTCCCTTTATTTTTTCTATTTATTTATTATTATTATTTTTAGTGTTTTGGGGTTACAATGCAACATTATTTTGAGGGCGGTCCCAACTTCGCCTTTAGGTATGATCCCTCCTCTGTCAGTAGGGCCTAGTTTTCTTTTTCCCTTGCTTGTTCTTATTCAATATATGTTCACATTGAGGACAATGTGAAGTTTAGCTTGGGGGAGGGATTACTTTTGGCTTTGGGTAGTTACTTTGTGAATCATGACGATGAATGGCTAGTAAACTATTTCTCTGTGCCCCTATCCTTGATGATTTAAAGGTTTTTGGCTTGATTTTGATTGAAATACTTGCAATGCGGATTAAATGATCATGATCTGATATTGGATTGTCTTGGCCTAATGGAAATCAACTTTGTGCAACTGTGTATGAATCTGGAGCTTGACTGTGCTAACTGTGAGGCTTGAGCCTTTATTATTTATTCATGTGTGTTAGTTCCTGGTGTGACATTGATCTTAGTTTTGTCTTGAGACTTTTAGTAGTGTGTCATGGTACATTGCACGTGCACGACGAGGAGGACGAAGGCCATGTTCATTAGGTAGCCTCCAGATGAATTTAGAAACGTTTGTCCCCTTCTTGCTTACCCATGTTGTAGCCTTGTCCATGTTTTTCATCTAAGTCACAAAATTAACCTATCGGCCCCAATTAGTAACTTATCCCAAGTCTAGCTTGGGGGAGCCATCTATCTTGGTATTCTCTATGGTTTGTGATGATGTTTTGGAGAAGATTAATTTGAAGCTTGAAGGTTCTTGAATTTTTTGCTATATGATCTATTTTTTAAGCTCTTATAGTTTGAAAAATGAAAAAAAGAAAAGGAAAAAAAAAATTATAGCTTCTTGAAGGATAAATAAAAGAGCTTCAAAAATAAGAATAGTGTGATGAATTGATTATGTAGGGTGAATAAGGTGGTAGTTGCTCTTATTTCAAGTTGTGTTTGGAGTGTGTATTCTTGTGAATTAGTTCGATGGGATTTTGATTTGTATTGTTCATTTTTTATGGCTTCCCTGAGGGACTATAATTTGCCTACATTTTCCAAATTTTTCCTACCCATTTTCACCCGGCCTACATTACAAGCTTGAAAAAAAAAGACCTTCTGACCTTCGTGCATAGTATTGTGTTCATGTGAAACGAGTCTTTTGTCAAAATGCTGGAGTATGTGTCACATTTCGAGTCGACTTTTGACTAGGTTGAGCGGCATTATTACCCTCTAAACACACGAGTGTTGTGAGAATGGGGGGTTGTTATTATTAGAGGGGATGGAGAGAGATCGGGCTCACTTTTAGCTCGCCACATAAAATTGTGCGGAGTGACCACTAAGTGAGATATTCTAGTCATCGATTCCTTATGTGTACATGGTTGACTCTGTTTGATGGCTATTTAGGTTGATTGATAATCTGAATGAGGTGATTGGTTGGCTAAGATGCTTGTGTGTCTAATCTCGATTTCGAGTATGATTTTTCAAATGTATTATGGGGTGAAGTATGTTTATTTGGTTGTTGCTAGTCATTGATTGTCTTGCTTGAGGGCAAGCAAGAAGCTAGCTTGGGGGAATTTGATGTAGACATTCTATACCATATTTTACCCTCGATTTATAGCTATTTTTGTATGATTTCTAAGCTCTACGGAGCTATTTCTCGCTAATATCCTTCTTCTAGTGTGGCTTGGTCTATTTGATTGATTTTTGTAGGAATATGAAGACTTTCGGATGAAATGGAGCATTTGGAGTGATTATGAGCATTCCACGACATTTTGAGGTGGATTAGAGAGCTTTATAAATAGATTTGCAAGTCATGAGAAGTGTATTGGAGTGTTAGATGATGATTGATGATAATGCTACATGGCCGTGTACCCTTAATTACACGGTCATGCGAAGGTCCTAAGTGCGAGTGTTTGCTACACGGTCGTGTACCACAAGCTACACGGTCGTGTGATTCCATCTCCGTATGAAGTCCACCTACACGCTCATGTACCTCTCAGCTACACGACCGTGTACGAATATGATGAAATTTGAAGATCAAGTATGGTCAGCTACAAGGCTGTGTACCCATCAGCACACGGCCGTGTACGTGTGCGCAGGAGATTTATTTTATTTATTATTTTATGTTTATTTTTAGGAAAGTATAAATAGGGGTTTTAACCCTATTTTAAAACATCTCATTTTTAATATAGCTTTTTCCTTTCTACGTTATTTTGTGAGAGAACACATAGAACTCCATTGAAGCATTCATCTTAATTCAATATAAAGTATTTCACTTTCAACCTTAATCTCTTTAATTTATTATTATTATTATGTTTTCTTTAATTATTTGTCTTGTTATTTCTATTATCATGTGTGAGTAGTTTCATAATCTAGGGTTAGGTTGAACCCTAATATGGATTGATGTGTTATTTGATTCCCAATTCCCAATTTAATTAATTTGTAATTCCTCTTTGTTAGGGTTGGTTTTATTATGAATGATTAACTAGAAATAGTATTGTTGAATGTGATTAGGTTTACAACGAAAGTTGATTCTTAATTGATTTTAGAACCCTAATTAAAAGTAAGAGCTTTTATGCATGAAAATAGGTAATTGTTCTTGCTAGGACTTATAGGATGTCGTTCTCAATGTCTTTAATATGTATGATTCCATGAAAATAGGTATGATTGCATGTTAGGGAAGCTATTAGTTGATCGAAAGAAACTCTTAGTATTGTTTTAGGGAGCATCTGTCCTGTGGAATGTTTATTGATTTAATTGAGGGAAAAGGATTGTTCTATTACATTGATTCATATTAGTGGGGATACTTAATCTTAGATGTTTTTAGTCCTTGATTAATTCCATAGTATTATTATTCATTGCTTATTAGTTGATATTGTTCTTAGTTATTAATTCTCACTTATTTGATTTGGTTACTTGCTTAGTAGTTACTTGAGTCTAATTAATTAGTTGAACTATAGTCTCTTGGGATCCGACCCTTACTTGCCCGTCTACATAGTAGTGGTCTTGTTAGGTTATTTTTGTTAGGTACGCGACACGCCTATCACAACCATAGGGCTGCTCAATGGATGTGTTGTATCCAAAGAAAATCTTTTAAGAACCTTTTCTATGTATGTTGATTGATGCACAAGGATTCCTTTCTCTAGGTGCTCTATTTGTAACCCCAAGAAGAATTTTGTCTTTCCTAGATCTTTCATTTCGAACTCTTTCTTTACATAATTGACAGTCACTGAAATCTCTTCAGGAGTTCCAATGACATTCAATCATCTACATACACTGTAATTATAACAAATCCTGATCCAAATTTCTTTATAAAAATACATGGGCTGATAGGATCATTCTTATAACCTTCTTTCAACAAATACTCACTTAGACGGTTATACCACATACGCCCAGATTGTTTCAATCCATAAAGAGATTTGTTCAATTTAATACAAAAATGTTTTCGAGAACTAGATTTTGCTGCTTCCGGCAGCTTGAATCCTTCTGGGAGCTTCATGTATATGTCATTATCCAGTGGGCCATATAAATATGATGTGACTACATCCATCAAACGTAAATCAAGTCCTTCTCTTATTGCCAGACTAATCAAAAATCTAAAAGTAGTTGCATCCACCACAGGAGAATATGTCTACTCATAATCAATACCAGGTCTTTGTGAGAATCCTTGTGCAACTAAGTGTGCCTTATATCTTACAACTTCACCCTTTTCATTTCTCTTTCGCACAAAGACCCATTTATATCCCACTGGCTTTACACCTTCAGGTGTACGGACTACTGGTCCGAATACTTCTCTTTTTCCAAGAGATTTTAATTCTGCTTCAATTGCTTCTTTCCATTTTGGACAATCATTTCTTTGTCTACATTCTTCAATGGATTTTGGTTCATGATCCTCATTATTATCCATAACATCTAATGCTACATTGCATGCAAAAACATCATCGACGTCGATTTGATTTCGGTTCCATGTAATTCCAGACATGATATAATTTATTGAAATTTCTTCATTATCAGGTACCTGAATTTCTTCTTGTATCATGTCTAAAGTTTCTTTTGGAGATCCTTCGGAAATTGTTTCTTCAATTTGACCATCATCAATCAATGCTCCTTTTCTTTTTCGAGGATTCTTATCTTTGGAACCTATTGGTCTTCCACGTTTCTGGCGTGGTTTAGACTCATTAGCAATTTTATTTTGTCCTTCCGGGACATCTATTTTAAATGGAGCATTAACAGCTGGAATATGTGACTTGGCCACTCTTTTTGGGTCAGCAAACGAGTCTGGAAATTGATTCGCTAAACTTTGTAAATGAATTATCTTTTGAACTTCCAGTTCACATTGTTTAGTTCGAGGATCAAGATAGGATAATGATAATTCATTCCATTTAATTTCATTTTCCAGCTCTCTCTTTTCTCCCCCTAATGTTGGGAAAAGTGACTCGTTAAAATGACAATCTGCAAAACGAGCCGTAAATAAATCCCCTGTTGTAGGCTCAAGATATTTAATTATTGACGGGGATTCAAACCCAACATATATCCCCAACCTCCTTTGAGGACCCATCTTAGTGCGTTGTGGTGGAGCTATTGGAACATAAACCGCACATCAAAAAATTCTTAGATGGGAAATATTTGGTTCCTGATCATAAACCAATTGTAATGGGGAGAACTTGTGATAACTTGTTGGCTTAATGCGAATTAGTGTTGTTGCATGTAATATAGCATGTCCCCAAGTAGAAATTGGGAGATTGGATTTCATAAGCAATGGTCTAGCAATTAACTGAATACGTTTTATTAATGACTCTGCCAGACCGTTTTGTGTATGAACATGTGCTACAGGATGTTCAACATTTATCCCAATGGACATGCAATAATCATTAAAAGCTTGAGATGTAAATTCATCA